TAATTACAGTATTAACTTCTTAGGGAACAGATGGTGACTAATTTAGAAGTAGGGGGCACATTGTTTTCCATGTTACGCTCTATTGCTCTGTTCCGTGTTCATTTGCTCTTGTCCATTCCCATAGTTCCCTAACCCTTGTTGAACCTAACATAGTCACACTGTAAGGATCAACCAGAACACCATGATGTCTGCTTATAGTACTAACCTCGTGGGAACAGATGGAGACTAACGTTGGAGCCTTTTAACATCTACAGTTTACTCAACATTTTGTGTTTGTACAGTTATTACAAGGTCAATCATTGTGCATTTAATTCTCTACCCTTAAATGAGCTTTTGATACATTTCTATTTGCTATCAAGATTTCAGCTTCATGATTAACAAATATGTACATAAAAACCTCGCAGCAATCTTAGTTTCATGTTTATCTAGCTTAGTTGTTCCTCTTTATCTTTCGCGTTGCAGGGTGAAGCTTCCTCAATAACACTTTCCAAACATCATAAGTATCGACTAGCCTCTGTTGTGCAGCACTTTGGAAGAGTTGGTAGCGGGCATTACACCGTTTACAGACGAGCAACAGCAAAAATAAGCGAAGACGATCCTGCAGGACTACTGGGATCTATTGTTGATCAGTGGTTTTGCATCTCAGATACCGACATGCATAGTGTTTCTGAGAAAGATGTTCTAGATGCTGAGGCAACCTTACTATTCTATGAAAAAATTTCTGATTGTTAAAACTTTTGCTGAGTTATATAGCTGTTTGTAGTAAGCTTTAATAATTTGTGCTAGCAACTCAGAAGCTGCGAGTCATTGTTATGGCCCATTTTATGCTTGCCCGGAGAATTGTTTTGGTGACTCTGGTGAACCTATTGAATTTAGTCAGATTTGAGTGTACTCTCTATTGTATTCTTTAATCGCTTATTATTTCAGATGTATGGCAAATTTTCCCCTTTAATATTAATATTATTTTGTTAGAGATTTTATATGCCAGTAAAAAAGAGTCCATTGCTTAAATGGTCACTTAACTATCTGGAATTATAAAGTAAAGTCATCTTTCTTTTGTTTGTAACAGAAAAGTCACTTAACTATTAGTCTGTTTGCCAAACTGCAAAAATTAGCTTATTTTGAGAAGTATTTTTTCTCAAAAATGCTTTTCTCAAAAGTACTTTTGGTGCGAAGTAATTTATGTTTCGCTAATTAATTTGAAAAGCACTTCTGAGCAGCAATTAGTGTTTGACCAAGCTTTTAAAAGCTGTTTCTAAGTGTATTTTTCTCAGAAGTGCTTTTGGAGAGAAGTTACTTTTTCTGCTTCTCCAAAACTGCTTAACATTTCAGCTTTAAAAAAAAAGGTGGTTCTAGGATTGGAGAAGCTTGGCCAAACAGGCTATATATCTATAGCACTCAAAAGCTCACTCAACCAGATTTCCCAAACTTTTAATTGTCAAATACCTATTTTATCCTCTAAAATTGGTATTTGATATTATGGACTTACCTATAGAATAAATAAATTTTGTCTACAAAATAAAAGTAAAAAATAACATGAGTTTTCTAGCATATATAATGTCGGAATAATAATAAAATTGAGCATAATTTTCAAGAATATATAATGCATATTATAAAAGTACCTTTATTTTAAATAATTATTTTTATATTACGTGCATGGAATATATATTATAAATCCTTTATTTTCTTTCATTCTCAATTGTGTAAACATTTTTTTGAGTTTTTGTTGTTAATATCAAAATTATTATTAGGAACAACAACAATAACAACAACAACAACATACCCAGTCTAATCCCACATCGTGGGGCCTGGGGAGAGTAGTGCGTACGCAGACCTTACCCTTGCCTTGTGTGGATAGTGAAGCTGTTTCCAATAGACCCTCGGCTTAGGAAAGCATAAGCACCACATTAATGAAAATATAGACAAGAAGGGACAGTACTAAAAAGCCATATAAAAGCTGAATAAAAACAACAAGATAATAAGGTAATCAACAATGAAAGAAAACAACGGTTAGTCATAAAAACCTACTGCCCACAGAAAGCGAAACTGCGTGCCAATACTACTGTTATGAACACTCTAGACTATCTATTCTACTACCCTAATCCTCAGCCTCTATACCTTTCTATCAAGGGTCATGTCTGTGAGCACGTGATTTTTGCCCTATACGAATTACTCCCATAAAATTCAATACAAAATAACTTCTTTTCATTATTTGCAAATTTTGTGGATTTTGCTGCATTTTCTGATAATTGTTTGCAATTTGTCTGTGCATTTCATTTCATTTAATTAATGAAAAATACAAAAATATGTTGCATTTGCATTTAGGATTTAATTTTACATTTTAGGATTAATTGGCAAATTAGTTATTTTATAAATGAAAAATCACAAAAATAGTTTATTTTGGCACTTTAATTTCAATTTTTCGAATTTTTGTAGTTTTTCTTTAATTTGGCATCTAATTAGTGGTGGTAATTATTATTTAGAATTAATTAATTCAATTTGATCAGACAATTTGATTAGGAATGAATTCAGGTTTTATTTTTAATTTTAAATTTTATTTAAAAGGAATTAAAGGAAAAATTGAAAAAAATAAAAAGAAAAGAAATAACAAAAGAGGAAGTCAGATTTTGGGCCTTCTCTAATTCTAACTCCCCAAGTCCAAAACCAAACACCCATTACCCGTTCAAATCGCCCCACATCCGGCCCAGATCCGAGTCCAACCCGGTCTATTCCCCCAACTAAGTCAAACGACGCCATTTTATCCTTGTTGATCTGGACCGTTGATCTCAGTTGATCAAACGGTCCTCAACTGAGCCCTTACTTGATATATATATATATGTCCTAACGCCCCCCCCCCCCCNACCCCGAAACCCTAGCTAAGCCGCCCCCAAATCCCCGGCCTCCGGTGGCGGCGCCACCTCCAAACGCCACCAAAATCACACCCTATAGCCTCCTCACTCCCCTCTTTCCAAATCTCATATCAGTTTCCCTCGAATGTTGCCCAATTTTCTCGAATCTTAGATCGAAAGTGAACCCTGAAAATCCAAAAGTCATCTGTTACGGGATTTGGTAGCATGCATGGTCCTAGGGTGACGATTCTTTGAGTTTTGAAGTTTGGACTCAACAGGACTGGTGTGGTTCAGCTTGTTCTTAACAAAGAACAGTTGACCGACATTAGTTTTGCTGGGTCCGTTGCCTCCGTCTGGTTTTGAAGTTTGACTTGGTAAGTTTCTTTCCTTTTTGTGTTTTCTTTCCCTCATCGTGTTATTTTCCTCCCCGTTCCTTTAAAGCCTAGTTTCCTTATAAAAATCTGGCTGAAAATTCGATTCGCTTTCTGAGTGCAAACTTGTTCTTCTGTTCATTATTGCATTTTCCTTTTCTTCTTTCTTTCTTCTTTTGTGAAATCTGTTTCTTCGACCTCTTTAGTTGGTTAAGCATGGCTAATGTTCTGGTTTGTTTTTTTGTGTGTTTAAATCACTAGTTAATTAGGCTTATAACTCAGTCAATTTCTCGCTTTGTATTTAAGCTAATTAATTCATTTCAATTTCTCACTTTGCATTTAAGCTAATTAATTCATTCGCCTTCGTCTTTGTTTGATTGCATTTTAAAAGGTTTCCGGATTTCTTCTTTTGGGAATTTTGGTCAGTTTTTTAAATGTGAGAATTTTGCTTAAATTGAATAGGGCTCTGAAGGGCAAGAGCCCAAGTGGGGATTCAATTTGGATTCACAGACCCATATCACATTTAGTTGGGTCAACTTGACCCATATTTCGAAGGGTAATAACAGGGTCATTAAGGAGTAATTTGGGTAGTTTAGGTGGGGGAATCTTTTAGTAATTGATTACAGAAGTTTCTAGTGGGGGTTTCTAAGGAAATTTCAGATTTAGGGTGTTTGAACTTGGGGAGCAAGTCAGAAAATGAGGGTTCAATTGGCAAAAAAATAAGTTAAGGGAAGGATTAGAAGTGCAAACTGGAACCTGGGGTCTGCCCTATTGACTTGCCTATAAAGGCACTCTTACTTGCCTTAGAAGGGGAGGATTTTTTAGGAGCTAAAAAATATCAGAAAACGCAGGCAGCTAAAAATGGGTCTACTGTTCCATTAAAAATCACTGAAATTCTTCAGATCCTCACTTTAATAGAATTCTCAAACAGCTAAGTGAGTTGAGTTTTTGTTGTCATCCAAGGGCTTGGGCCCAGATTTTAGTTGTATCCTGATTTTGAGCTTTGGGTGTTGCTGTTGTGGATTCTAATTTGGTTCAAAGTGGTTTTTCTTCTCCTGAGCATTTCTGGGTCGATCTTGTTGCTGACACACTGCTCTTGTTACTGTTCTGTTGCTGATCCTTCCTTGCTGTTCTTTGTTTTCGAATTCCAGGTATATCCTCAACTGTAGTGGAATGGAGTTCTGAATAAGCTGTATGAAAATCTGGATTCAAATTGAAGCTTAAGTACTGACTACTGGTGTAATTGTGCCAATTTTTATAACTATGTGAACTTGAACTATTTATTTTATATAAATTTAAAGTTCCGCTATGTTGAACTGTTGGTTAAGGCTAGTAGCCCAAAGTAATTTGGCTGAAATATTTAAGTGTTAACATTATAACAGTGTTTGGATCCTACTTGTGTAAATAAACTGATGTAAGGAAATGGACCTCAGGTCCAAGTCTGTTTGAATGTTATATAAGCTTAGAACCCCTACTGTGCAAACAAATTTGATTCATATATCTCCTTTCCCTGTATGAAATGGGACATCACATTCACTTGGTCAGTATTGAAGTTCTATAATTCCAGGTGGTAATTGCTTAAATAAGTGTTGAATGAATCGAAGTTAGTATATAGGATAATTTCTGGGCAGAATATGGTGGTCATTCAAATTGCGGCGAGTTTGAAGCTTTTGAATTCGATTTGCCTCTACTGATTTTTTTAATTGAGTTCACAACTGTTCAAATCAGTATTCAATGTCTTTTGGTTGGCTAATGGCGAGTTAAGAACGAACTACCCAGTTTGGTTGCATGGGCTTTAGTCTCGTGAATGACTTATTTAGAATTCCTTTACTATCTCAAAGTGTTGTGGTGAGGAGTCAATGTGAGGTCCTTAAGGCTCCATGTTTGAGCCATTTTGAGGCCCAGTTCTGAGGGTCTCTCTTGAGACGGATCTTCTCTTTGTTGGTCCTCCAAACCTTTGTGGTGATTCAGTTTTTTATGCGATGCATTATCTAATCAGCACCCATAAAATCTGTAATCACATTTAGTTCTAACTGATCAAGCCCATTAATTAGATTGGATTGCGCCGTGTCGACGAGGGCTATAATTCCTAGCCTCAAAAAGCAGTTCGAACATCTTTGAAGTTAGAATTGAGTTAACACATATCAGATAATACGAATAATCTATGGCCTTCGCTTACTTTATTTTGATCCTTTAGAGAATCGAGATATGTCATTTAGCAGATTTTCATGGCCCTCGCAAAGTTGACAACGTGGGTGCATAAAACTCGGGTGCGCATTTCATGTGACCCAAATCCAAATCCTAAAATGTTGAATAAAATGTGTTCCGTATTGCGGGTGCATTTCATGTATTGCGATCCAAAGATATGTTTTAAACGACGTTCAATCTTGTTTTAAAATTAAATAAAAGCAGTTTAAAAGTAAAATTTGCACCTAGGTTCAAAATGTCCTAAAATCATATAATTAAGCCGAATATAACAGTTAAGCGACCGTGCTAGAATCATGGAACTCGGGAATGCCTAACACCTTCTCCCGGGTTAACAGAATTCCTTACTCGGATTTTTGGTTCGCGGACTGTAAAACAGAGTCAATCTTTTCCTCGATTCGGGAACGGAACCGGTGACTTGGGACATCATAAATCTCCCAAGTGGCGACTCTGAATTTGTAAATAAAATAATCCCGTTTCGATTGTCTTTTAATTG